AGGCCGTGGGTTCGACCCCTACCCTGACGATGCCTCTGTAATGAGGTGGTGGGGACTCAGAGGCGTTATCGGAGCTGCCACAGCAGGTTCAGGAATCCATCAGGTATCCTTTATGTAAAATAGTGTAAAAGTTATCGTAAAAAGAAAAATGCTTAAAATATATCAGAAAGATACCCGGCCGCGCCGTAGACACCAGCTCACCCATCTCCCAAGAGCTCATCAGCACCTGTATCTATGGAGGAGGAATCTGAAGAGCTATGATGCTCTTAAACTTGATTTGAAGCTTTCGAGACTGCAGGAATTACTCTTTGGTTCTTTTGGTAAAGTCACGTAGGAAGAAAATAAGTTAAATAATAGAATACGACGTTTCGATTGCAACACAAGAAACCGTCATCAGGTTAGAACTAAATTTAAGAGAGAGACAAAACACAGACACGGAGACACACAGACAGACACACAAGCAGAGAGAGACAACACAGAGACACACAGAGAGAGACAACACAGACACACAGAGAGAGACACACAACATAGACACACAGAGACACAACATAGACACACAGACAGACACAAGCAGAGAGAGACACATAACATAGACACAGAGAGAGAGAGACACACAGAGAGAGAGACACACAACATAGACACACAGAGACACAACATAGACACACAGACAAACACACAGAGAGAGAAACAACACAGAGAGAGACACACAACATAACACACAGACAGACACACAACATAGACACACAGACAGACACACAAGCAGAGAGAGACACATGGAGAGACACACAACATAGACACACATAGACACACAGAGCGCAAAGCTTCCCGATCTCTGGCCCAGTCAACCTAGACACTCTGTGTGTCTATGTTGTGTGTCTGTGTTTTGTCTCTCTCTCAAATTTAGTTCTACCTGATGACGATTGCTTGTGTTGCAATCGAAACGTCCTACTCTATTATTTAATTTATTTTCTTTCTACGTGACTTTACCGAAAGAACCAAAGAGTATGCAGATCTTTTTCGCAGATGTCCAGTCGGGGCACGGCTCAGAAAGTTACAACAACAAACACAATACAACAACAAACGCAATATAAAAATACTCTTTGGTTCTTTCGGTAAAGTCACGTCGGTGTAAAATAAAATAAATTAAATCACGAAGTTTCGGGACGTTTTTGTGTTGCGCCCGAAACGTCGTGATTTATTTTATCTTATACCTACGTGCTTTACCAAAAGAACCAAAGAGTATGGATCCCTGCAGTCACGAAAACTTCAAATCTACAATATAAAAACACGATAAGAGCGCAAAGCTTCCCGATCTCTGGCCCAGTCAACCTTTATACAGGCGGAGAGCCCTCCCGAAATTAATTGTTCCATTATTAAATCCAGCCGTGCCCCAATTACCTCCTTCCCAAGCCGGACTGCGCAAGCAATCATCCTCAACTCAACGCGCGCGTTACATTCCCATCCACATTGCAGCTTTGACGACGGTGCCATTTGTTGCTGCCCTTTTGACGTTCGACCCCTTTGGCCTTTGTGCTCAGCAACCGCGAAATTACTCCGGGGCCTGATCAGCGTCTGGTGACCTGCGGCCCCACGCTCTCAGTCACCCGTCGGCCCAACAACAATTCAACTATGAACTTTTAAGCATTTATTTTACCAGCTAATAATGCCCGCTGGGCTACTATGAAGCTATTTTTCGGAAGCGACCTGGCTATCACAAATGATAGCTCAACGAAGCGGGCTCATCGTTCTTTTCATTATTATCACGTCGACATTCATAGCAGCCAGACACTGTCAACGCGTGATGTTGATTCTAAATGTGGGAGGGAAAAACCGGAGGACCCGGACAGAAATTCACGCGGCCATGGAGAGAGAGAGACACGCAAACTCCAAATATACAGCAGCAGGCGTCAGGGTCGGGATCGAACCCACGACCTCCTGTATACTAGGCGAGGTAATTAACATATCTTAACCACCGTGGTGATGATGGTAAGAGAGAGACACGCAAACTCCAAATATACAGCAGGCGTCAGGGTCGGGATCGAACTCGCCACCTCCTGTAGACCAGGCGAGGTAGTTAACATCTCCTAACCACCGTGGTGATGATGATGAGAGGTAGACACAAACTCCACATACACAGCAGCAGGCGTCAGGGTCGGGATCGAACCCACGACCTCCTGTATACCAGGCGAGGTAGTTAACATCTCCTAGCCACCGTGATTATGATGAGAGAGAGAAACACGCAAACTCCAAATATACAGCAGCAGGCGTCAGGGTCGGGATCGAACCCACGACCTCCTGTATACCAGGCGAGGTAGTTAACATCTCCTAGCCACCGTGATTATGATGAGAGAGAGAAACACGCAAACTACAAATATACAGCAGCAGGCGTCAGGGTCGGGATCAAACCCACGACCTCCTGCACACCAGGCGAGGTAGTTAACATCTCCTAGCCACCGTGACGCCCCTCTCACTCACAGACCGTGTCTCCCCCCCCCCCCTGTACGCAGCTCGACGTGAGGGCGGTGCTGTGCGAGGCGCTGCACGAGGCCACCGTCCTGCAGAGGGCGTGCGCCGCGCTCGCGAACGACCCCGCGGTGTCCGAGTAGCGCCAGGACCCTGGGGACCCCGGGGACCCTGGGGACCCCGGGGACGCCGCGCGGTCAGGGATGGGGGCGGTGACGGGCGAGGCGGGCGGTGTGAGTGGAGTGATGGAAGGCACGCGTCCTGGCGCATGCAGGATGACGATGACACGAGGCGCCGTGCCACGCTGGTTCTGCTGCCTGACCCATTGCAGGAACACCTCGGAGTATTGATTAACAGATGTCCAGTACGGGGGGCACGGGGTCAGGGCGCTATAACAACAAACAATGCAAAAAAAAACACGATAAGAGTGTAAAGTGTAAGAAAGGTCAACACATTCACTTGTAAAATATTATTATTTTTACATTTTTTAAAAGTGGATTCGCAAGCACGTCGTCACTTGATAATGAACACAGGCGACCCGACTCGCGTCGCCTCAGCCCCACACTCACGTCGCTGTCGGCACCGTCCGCCCCGTCTCGTTATACGTCGCCTCAGCCCCACACTCACGTCGCTGTCGGCACCATCCGCCCCGTCTCGTTATACGGCGCCTCAGCCCCACACTCACGTCGCTGTCGGCACCGTCCGCCCCGTCTCGTTATACGTCGCCTCAGCCCCACACTCACGTCGCTGTCGGCACCATCCGCCCCGTCTCGTTATACGTCGCCTCAGCCCCACACTCACGTCGCTGTCGGCACCGTCTCGTTATACGTCGCCTCAGCCCCACACTCACGTCGCTGTCGGCACCGTCTCGTTATACGTCGCCTCAGCCCCACACTCACGTCGCTGTCGGCACCGTCTCGTTATACGTCGCCTCAGCCCCACACTCACGTCGCTGTCGGCACCGTCTCGTTATACGTCGCCTCAGCCCCACACTCACGTCGCTGTCCGCCCCGTCTCGTTATACGTCGCCTCAGCCCCACACTCACGTCGCTGCGGGCACCGTCCGCCCCGTCTCGTTATACGTCGCCTCAGCCCCACACTCACGTCGCTGTCGGCACCGTCCGCCCCGAATCGTTATACGTCGCCTTTCGGCCACCGCACCCTCGACACAAACCAAGACTTTGCATCGCGCGCAATAGAAATGTACCGAACCGCCGAGTACAAAGGTATTCTTGTTGCTGTTGTTGTTGTTATTTATGTACGGCAGTTTGGCGAGTTGGGAGGGGGGGAAGCGCTGTGGGATTGACGTCGTTTCAATATCCGTCGTCGTATCCCACGCACCCTAATCCGGGGAGTGGCGTCACAGGGTGGTCCAGGTGGCCCAGGTGAGCCCCGTTTCCATTGTCCTCCCCCCGCACCCCCGATTAGCACTGTTGGCTACGTATGGTGCGAAAGAAGTTCAACATACACGTGTACAAACGTAAGATTTTTAAAAAAAGATTTATTTAAAACAGAAATTAATGTGCAAAGGAACTCAAATGTTAAGGGTCAATTCATTGAGGTCACAAGATTATCTGGGCCACCCTGTTCTGTGACGTGTACTGTCTGTATTGTTGTAAAACATATCAACAATTGTATTTTAATAAAAAATAAAGTAATAATTTACACCGCTGTTGTCACTCCACTGCAATGGCGATGTTTACACAGCGCACCACTCATTTGAGGCTGAGTCGGCCTAGGGGAGGCCCAGGACCGTCACTCGTGTTGGCCGTGAGCAGGAATCGAACTCATGTGGCCGGGTTCGTAGCGCAGTGTGCTCACCATTGTACGACCGCTACCTACAAACGCACGGGGGCATACGCGTGCACGCGCACACACACACACACTCATTTTCACACACAAAGATCCCTCTTATAGCCTTAACAGACCATTGGGGCAAGTGCTGTTCGCTATGAAGGCCGGCACGGCACACGAGGCAATGGGTGGCCAGCATCACGCCCGACCGCCTTTGTCTCCCCAGTGGCGATGTTTACACACCGGACCAGGCACTCACTTGATGCTGAGTCGACCTAGGGGAGGCCCAGGACCGGTTCATAAAATCGTCACTGGTCTTGACCGTGAGCGGGAATCGAACTCGGATTCGGGGGGTTCGTAGCTGCAGCGCGCTAACCACTACGCTACCGGCCCCCACAAGCGCACACGCACACACGCGTACTCACATTCACGCACACACGTGTGCACGCTACGCACCCACACTCACTCCGTAGTTCGGTTTACAAGTGCGAGTTCTTGTTCACAAGTCGGCATGGTTGAAACGTGAATCTCACGGAAGCGCGTTCGTAAGTGCGGATGTTCGTAAGTTGGGACGTTCCATGCGCGTAGTAATTTCCTGTTTGGGCAAGCGTCGAGGCATTGGTGCTCACCTCCTGTCTGTGCATATGCAGCGGTGGTGGAAATTCCACATTTTTAAGGCGGGTAAAGTCTATCCGCAGGAAAACCACAGTGAGATAATAGGAGGCTTCAAACGGACGTGAAATTCAAGAGATTTATTTACCAATCGCCAGCCGGCAGGTGAACGCGAACGCCACCGGACTGGTCACACGACACAAACAACACTCGGCCACTGCGAGTATCCCTTACGCACGAGTGGCAAGCGGAGAGAGAAGCCAACACTTTACAGAGTGAACTGTGCATATATTATCACTTGTGTGTATATATATCATCTATACAGACACTTTATTTAACATCAACCACAAAGAACCGAACACAAGACAAATTATGAGAATAGGTGTTCCCCTTTTTTTCCGGCAAACAAAAACAGCTGTGTCAAGATGTTAGAACACCAAACCGAAACCTTCGACAAGGAATCATGTCTGCATTAACCACAATACTTGTGGTCAGAATGCAAACAAAAAACTTGTTTTCATTGTAAATTATTATCATCATATGCATTTTTCTTCTGGCAGCAAAGGCTACGGCGTGGTTTGGAGTGTCGCCCGCTCATTAAACCTCGGGCGAGCGACCGATACGACACAGCTCGAAGGACAGCGCCTCGAAACTGCAGTCCCAGCGATGCACGTCACCCAGTAGGTTTCGCGGTTTACCAATCATCCGGTACGTCGAATGTGTAAATTTTTTTTTGCCGCCGCTGTAAAATTCCACGTGGATTCCGTTATCAGCTGTCATTTACATCCCAGCCTCGCCACCGGCAAACGTTCATCCCGAGACGAGGAATCAATTTGGAAATCTCGCAGAGCGGGTACGGATCTCCCTTTGTGCGAGGGAATGGCCCACGGAAGTGGATGTCGCAGATCTACCTGGGAGATCCGCTCCTCTCGAGTCACCGCTCCGGGCCACACACAACAAGGGGGCAGCACTCTCCCGACCCGCTCTCTGTGAGATTCATGTTCACTGGATGACAGTGAAACGCATCATTTCACTCCACGGAGCCAGGATTTAGCCAAATTAAGCGCAGAAACCAAATTGTGATCGTTTTTTTGTTTTTGTTTGGCTGACAGGGCTGAGACAATCAACTCGCTGCACGTGAGAACCCAGTTTCATCACCACAACCCAGCCTTTGCCAGTCTGTGGGTCTCTGTGCGAGTCCATGGGTCTCTGTGTGAGTCTATGGGTCGCTCTGCGAGTCTATGAGTCTCTGTGCGAGTCTATGGGTCTCTGTGCGAGTCTATGGGTCTCTGTGCGAGTCTATGGGTCTCTGTGTGAGTCTATGGGTCTCTGTGCGAGTCTATGGGTCTCTGTGCGAGTCTATGGGTCTCTGTGTGAGTCTATAGGTCTCCGTGTGAGTCTATGGGTCGCTCTGCGAGTCTATGAGTCTCTGTGCGAGTCTGCTGGGCCTTTACGCGAGTCGCTGGTGACCGGGCTGACACCATCAACTCACTGCGGCCACTCTGACCCCTCTGACCCTCTGTGTGACCCCCCCCCCCACCCCACCCAGCCACCTCGCTCAGTGACAAACAAAGCTGCCGACTCGCTCGGAATTCAGTCGGATGATCCCCTCGGCTGGCCGGTCACTCGAGAGCGAGAGAGAGAGCGAGAGAGAGAGCGAGAGAGAGAGCGAGAGAGAGAGCGAGAGAGAGAGCGAGAGAGCGAGCGAGCGAGAACACCTTCAAGAGGTGCCCACTGTCCAGTTAACGTGAGCGGTCATCACACGGTGTAACAAAAACAATGTTTTTTATGTGCATGGGTAGTGTTATGTTCTCATTGCTTATGCCTCAAAAGTATAGAAAATGGCTATTATTCCCCATTAACTTTGCTTTTGTGACCAGGACACAAAAACAAAGTTAATAATCCACTCCATTAATAACACTGTGTAACAAATTTATTTCATGTTCTGGGTAGTAAGTGTTATTTCCTAATTGTCTATGTCTCAAAAATACAGAAAATGGCTATTATTCCGCACAAACTTTGCTTTTGTGACCAGGACAGTGAAATTTAGAAATGTACATATTTTCAATTAGAAAACAGGTGCATTTGTGTCTTTCCTTCACGTAAAGTCCTGGTCACAAAAGCAAAGTTTGTGGGGAATAATAGCCATTTTCAAAACTTTTGAGGCATAAGCAATTATGAAATACCACTTACTACCCAGGAACAAACATCGTGTTACATCGTGAATTATCAATCCCCTACGAGAACCTCACTGGGTCTCTGTAGTAGAAGACAACGCCGGTCATTCCCCAGGAGGGCCCTAAGATGCGATGCCCCCCTCTGCCCCTCCCCCCTCCCGTGATGGCCATCGGAGCCGTTGTGTTTACAGGAGCTGCCGACAGCGAACGCGCTTAGCCGTTGGTGCTGTTTGTCGCTGGCCGCTTTGGTGTTTTGGGGCCTTCGCTTTAGCAACTGTTACAGAACAAACAAAAAACCACCCAAACAACGTTGAGATCGGTGACCTCTGAACCTTTGGTGGTTCCTAAAATCAGAAGGGGAGGCGGGGTGGCGGGTGGGGGAGATGGGGCAGGAGGGGGGGGCAGGAGAGGGGGGCGAAGGCGGGGGGGGGGGGGTGAGGAAGGGGGGGGTCTGGGGTGGTGAGGGAGGAGGGGGTCATGGCTTTGCTTTGCTCCACCGCCCTCTGGGACCCTACCTCCCCAAACAAGTCGTCATCGGCAACGGCGCAATTCACAATCGAAATCTCCCACCAACACAAACTTCCCGAGAGAAGCATCTCAAGATTATCTCACAGCCGGGGGGGGAGGGGAGGGGGGGGAGCCGTGAGCAGGACGCGGGGCGCGACGTTTCATTTCACGAGGCCTTGCGCTTGGACACGGCCCCCCTCCCCCGCTCCCCGAAGCGTCGTCGGCCGAAATGAAATGGGGCAGCGGAGTGCTGCGATGTTTTAAAGCTGGAAAGAAGCGATGCGTTTCGAATTTGTTTTGACCACTGCGCCCTCCCCCCCCCCCCCTTGCAGTGACACACACGCGACTCGGGGTCTCTCCCTGTGTGTGTGTGGTCATGTCAGAATGTTACAATCAGAATATTTATTTACCATGGAGGAATCCGATGAGCTATGAAGCTCTGTTTCACAGATGTCCAGTAATCGCCCAGCAAGGTGCACCTAGCCTGGCACAAGCGCAGCGGTGCCCGTCACCGCCACGTGAACTGCTGGACACGTGTGAAAAATAACTTCACGGCTGATCGGATTTCTCCTCCAGTCTAAATAGAGATTTCTGATTCTAATTGTATTGGTTGTTGTCGCTGCTGTTGTTGTTGTTTACCCAGCACAAGAGGCCACCGAGAGTCCGACTGGGCGCTGGGTGGTTATAATAACAACAATGATGTTGACGTTCCCCCAGGTCAGAAGTCGGCAACTAAAACCACGAGAATGTTTGGGGAATAAAAAATAGATGGGGGGTCGGAGGGAGGGTAGAGGAGAGAAGGGGGTGGTGGTGGGTGGTGGGGGGGCTGGACACGCGTAAAGTGCAACAGACTACGCGTGCATTACGGCACCGTCGACGTTCGCAACGCGCCGAGGAGCGAGCGAGCGAGCGAGGTCACTCCAAGGTCACGGTGCCCGCTCGCCACCCAGGTGGGCGGCGGTGCAGCGGAGGGTTGGAACGGCTCACGGCACGCGCCTGACTACAGGTGGTGCCGCACGCACCACACGCCACGCCACGCGATGCTGCTGCTGCTGGGATTGCCACCGACCTCTCAGTGCTGACGACAATGGGCAGATTGTGCCCACGTGACCCCGACCCTTCAAAGTGTTTCCTTGAAACACGTCATTCAACGTATCCTGCACGCGGAGCTACTTTCGCGGCCACACGTTACGATTCGTGATTTTTTGTTGTTGGGGGGGGGAGGGTGGAGGGGGCTGGCTAAGGGTGGGGGGTTAAGCCTGCGCAACGTGACGATCCACCCGACGCGGCCAAATGAAAGTTGTCACGCGGCGCGAGAGCGTTGGGACAGCGCGGCGACTGCTATCGCTTCACGTCGCTCGCCCATTCACTCGCTCGCTCACCCGATCGCCCACCCGCTCGCCCACCCGCTGACTCACCCACCCACTCACCCACCCACTCGCTCACCCGCTCGCTGACTCACCCACCCACTCACCCACCCACTCACTCACCCACTCATCCACTCACTCGCTCGCTCACAGCGGGCGAGTTGGAGCGGGATCCTCACAGCCGAATTCGGAATTAATTTTAATTCCGCCCGACGCAGTTTCAAGCGAAACGTCACGAATCTCAGATCTAGTTGCTGCTCAATCCGGCTGCGAGTCACTCTCGAGCTATCTACAGTGATCAAGTGGTTGGGTGAGTGGGTAAGCAAGTTGTTGGGTGAGTGGGTGGGTTAGTGGGTGAGTGGTTGGGTGGGTAATCAAGTGGGAGGGTGAGTGAGTGGGTCAGTGGTTGAGCCAGTGGGCGGGTGGGTAAGTGGGTGAGCGAATGGGTGGGTGAGTAGTTGGGTGGCTAAGCAAGTAGGTGGGTGAGTGAGTGGGTAAGTGGGCGAGTCGGTGGGTCAGTGGATGGGTGAGTGGATGAGTCAAGGCCGTAATTATAATAAATATTGGAGGGGGACACATCCTCAAATATGCTCAAAATGTCCCCCCCCCCCATATATTGCTATAAAATAGATTTCTGTTCATATGATTGTGGTTATGGTTGTAGTTTATTAATCCCTAACCTCTGCCATTACATACAATGAACAAGACAAAACAACAGAGCAATGTAATACAATACACTATTAGACATTATTGTAAAAAATAATAGTCCATCCTATGTGTTCGTGAATTTTTTAGGCAGGAAATAAATTTAGATTTTTTTTTCTGGGGGGGGACCCCCAGACCCCCTGGAAGATTTGGTCCCCCCCAAATGTTGACTCCATGGCTACGGCCTTGGGATGAGTGGGTTAGTAGGAGAGTGGGTTGGTGAGTGAGTGGGTAGGTGGCTGAGAGGATGAGTGAGTGCGTGGACGGGTCAGTAGGTGAGTGGGTGAGTGGATTGGTGAGTGGGTGGGTCGGTGACCGAGAGGATGAGCGAGTGCGTGAACGGGTCAGTAGGTGAGTGGGTGAGTGGATTGGTGAGTGAGTGGGTAGGTGACCGAGAGGATGAGCGAGTGCGTGAACGGGTCAGTAGGTGAGTGGGTGAGTGGATTGGTGAGTGGGTGGGCGAGTCGAGCTGAAACAATAACAATCGGCGCGTCACCGTTCCTCGACGACGTGCGTTGCCATTACCCGTGTTTGTCTTTACGCCTATTCCTCAAATATCTGTACACAACTCCGTGACCTCTGCGTTCATTCAAAACACGTCTCTGTACAAGCCCTGCGTGATTCTGTACAACGCCGCACGTTCCGCTCCGCCGTGCGTACGTGCGTGCCTCTACACCGCGACGTCTGTAGCTAACCGATTTTCCCCTCGATAAATAAAAATATTCCGATTCCGATTCTTGAAAGATTCGCCGTATTGGCGCGCATCGCGTCCGGGGTAGCGGCGCCCAGGTTCGACTCCCGACTCGGGTGCCCCGAGCCCTGTGCTGCCATCGGTTCCCTCCGCGTTCTCCGGTTTCCACTCGTAGCTCAACAAAAAGACAACCGCCTCCCCCATATGTACAAAGTAACTAGCATTGGCTAAAAATGTCCCAACGCCGTAGGAGTTAGCCGCGCGCGTACTCCACTGGGACCACACGCGGACACATCGGGCTCCGAACCGCACGCTGAACGAGCACAACAGTGATAATACGGAGTTGGGCGCGACGTTCGGAGCGTGGGCCCCGTTTCATTTCCTCGCACCAAGGCCCACCACGCCAGCCGCCAGGGCCGTCCATGGGGGGGGTGTGCGGGGCCCGGGGCTAACCCCACCGTGTGGGCCTCCGTCTGCCCCCCGTTTTTACCCCCTGCCCCTGCCGACGCCTTCAAACTAAACCGGAAATATCACATCTGACAGCGCGACGTCGCGGCGCGCGGGGGTAGGGGGGGGGGGAGCCCCCCACAGTGCGGGGCCCGGGGCGACCGCCCCGATTGGCTGTTACCCCTAGGCGACGGCTACGCACACCGCGCCGCTGCCGCCGCCGCCACCCCCGTCTCCCGATTGCACGTCCTCCTCTCGTACCCCGCGTCATCGACACCGGAGCACATCCTCTGCGCGTCTATTGTGCAGTCGTTGGCGGCCCAGTGGAGAGCATCGCCGACCGGCCGACGCGCGAGGGCCCCACGCGCGCGCACGGTAGGGGGCGCGGCCAGAGCATCTGCGGTCATCTCGGTCAGTCAACCCACGGCACCACCCGGCTCTGTCCCGTGACCTCCTGCCACCGAGCCTTTGACACCCCACGCGGCCTCGGAGTGCACCTAGCCTGCCACGGCCGCCGTGGTTGTCGTGACCGCCACTTAGTGGCGAATGGCGGCTGTTGTTGTTGTTGTGTTGTGCACCGCTTACGACGGATACGCACACGCACGCGCGTTTGCGCGCACGCGTTGACTTACGACAAAGGAGCGGGGCAGTGGAAGGGGAGCGGTGGGGTAAGGTTACGCGGCAATTAATGTGCAAGTCAACCTTTGCAGAGACCTCTAGCACCGCGGCGCCCTTGCGTACGTTTGCACACATTTTTCAGTCCCTCCCGTCCACCCCTCCTCCTTCCCTCCATCAGCACGGGGGAGCACACACTCTGTGGGGTCAAACCTCCTAAATAAGGGACAAACAAACACAATTTATTCATGAAAACACGATATACATTAAAAAAAAGAATGTACAACGCCATCTCCCACCACCCCCCGTACGGCCACGCAGACAAGAACATCCCCCACCCCTCCCGACCGCCTTTGTCTCCCCAGTGCTGATGCTTTACACACCGCGCCAGGTGCTACTCATTCAGGGCTGAGTCGATTTAGCGGACGGGAATCGGACCCGGCCCCACTGGAATCGTGGCGCAGTGCGCCAATCGCTGCGCCACCGCTCGCCGCGCATGCACTCAAGTAGAAACACACCCCCCGTGTACGTACGCGTGTTTAACTTTCTTCGCACCGTACGTAGCCAACCGTGCAAATCGGAGGCGCGGGGGAAGGGGAACTAGCGAGCCCCTATGAAGGTCTTCGTGGTCGGCACTACGCCCAAGCAGCCTTGTGCATGATGTTTACACAGCACAGTATGACTTCATTTAGGGCTGAGTCGACCCGAGAGCAGGACGACTAATCACGCCTAAGGTTCAAAGGTTTCCGCCCTCAGCTCTGCGTGCGACTTAACCTATGTACATGTTTAATGTGTACATTTAAATAATTATAAATCATTACGTTTAGATACTATTCTACACTCCATTGTTGGAGCCCCCCCCCCCCTCCTCCCGGTTTGTTTGACCATACTTCACCACGCTGGTCAATGCGGGTTCGTGAAGGGGTGGGGGGTGGGCCACTGATGTTAGCCGTGGGCTGGGTATCACACTCGGGACACTCGCTGGGTTCGGAAGCACAAATGAGCTCACCACTGCGCCACCACTCCCTTCCCCCTACATGTACCTACACACACACACGTGAAAGCACACACACACCCTGTATGTAATGTACAATAATGTACATGTGAACATATACACGCACAGACACACAAAGACAAAGATTCTCCGTATAGCCTACAACAGGCTATTGGGGCAAGTGCTGTTAGCGAGCACCTATGAAGGCCAACACGGCACACGAGGGGGTGGGGGGCCAGCACCACGCCCGGCCGCCTTTGTCTCCCCAGTGGCGATGTTTACACACCGCACCAGGTACTCATTTGAGGCTGAGTCGACCTAGGGGAGGCCCAGGACCGGTTCAGATAATCGTCACCGGTGTTGGCCGTGAGCGGAAATCTAACTCGGGTCACCAGCTTCGTAGCACAGTGCGCTAACCGCTGCACCGCCGCTCCCCACTCACTGCACAGTTGCACACACGTGCACGTATACACACATGTGCTCTACCGATTAATAAATAAATTGTTTACCCGGAGAAAGCCAGGACTCTGTGGAGACTGCAGCCGAGGGGTGGCCGATGCGTGCGAGACACTGGGCGGACTTCACGGTGAGGATAAAAGTAAAATAGCGAGCAACGAGGTTTCCGCAAGAGCCGAGAAGCCAGGAGTAAACGTTGTGGGTAGGAATTGGGCTGGGCTCCAATTGGCTAGGATGGTACGTCCACAAACAAGCCCCCTGCGAAACAACGTGCCCAAAGCTTAATGTTTTAAAGCGATTTATCCGAGCAAACTTTCACCACGCGAAATCGAGACTCATTTCATTTAACGTCGACTTGTATATTTCCATGTCGTTTTCCATTCCTTCCGCAAGGACGTTTTTGCTACGATTTCTACTCGCTCGCCCGGGCTCTGACATCCAATCAGTTGTTGCCGTTGTTGTTGTTGTTGTCGTTGTTACTGCTGCGTCGCATTTCTATTCGCTTCGCCGCTGGTGCTTTTGTTCTCGTTATTCCGGTGACCCAAGCCACTCGCTCGCGCTAAACGAGAACACGTGAAGCGAGCCGCTATATATAGCGTTGCACCACCCTGTGTCGGGCACAAGCATCTCTGGTAGGTGACGAAAGCCTTTGCCGTTGGGGCAACGACGTTTTGGGACAGCGCTCGTTTCGCTCCCTCGACATTCGTCAAAATGTTCCTTCGAAAAAAAAACATACGTCCTGAAGCGTAAAATTGGTAGTACCGGATACGGCCGGTCACATTCGCGACTGCGATTTGTGACTGTGATGGTGACCTGTGTCGTATCGGTAGTGCAATGCATGGTGTTCTCTTGGTGTGGTCTGGGACTGTTTTGTTGTGGGCTGCCTTGCCCAATCATGATAAATCGGACTTAGATAATCCATTTAATTAAATTTAGTTACTTGCTCACCATTGTTAATATTCTGCACTCCCGATCGCGTTTTTGTATCGTTGGCTGTTGAGATTTTGCTGGCCCCGTGAAAAAGAGCTTCACGGCTCTTCGGATTTCCTTCTCCAGTCTAAATAAAGATTCTGATTCTGAAAGGATGTTGATGAATCGGGAACCAAAAGGAATGAGAGCAGGAAGGGAGATGATGACAATGCAGGAACCACTTCTGAAGCTGAATTCCACAATGCTCTGCCAAAGGAGTGTTTGTGTTCCGTTATCACCAAATAAATAAATGTTTACTACTCACGGCTGCAGATTGGCCGGGTCGAGCGAATTAATAAAATCTCTCCACCATGGGCGCCATGCTGGCTAGGAGATGTTAACTACCTCGCCTGGTGTGCAGGAGGTCGTGGGTTCGATCCCCACCCTGACGCCTGCTGCTGTATATTTGGGGTTTGCGTGTCTCTCTCTCCACGTGGTCACGTGGATTTTTCTCCGGCTCTCCCCTCCACATTTAGAATTCGAGCATTTGACTGCTATACATTTCCACCTGATAATCCACTTCATTGAGATGTCATTTGCTGTGATAGCCAGGATACTTCTGAAAAAAGAGCTACATAGCTCATTGGGCCTTAGCTAGTAAAATAAAAAAGTAGTTTTATAGTTTTAATTTAGTTAATTTTAATAAATATATGATGTCCATTGACCTGAAGGTTACTGTGCAGTCTCTGATGGCCATGCCAAGACAATCAACACGGCAGCGCTTGTAGACGCAACGTACCCACGTGTGACAGCGGTCCAGGCCATCAACGGCGCCTACCTTCACGCTCGAACCTCCAGACCATCCGGCGGGACAAAGATTCCCCGTATAGCTGCTGTTAGCGAGCAACAACAGCGCCTATGAAGGCCGGCACGGCACACGAGGGGGTGGGTGGCCAGCACCACGCCCGGCTGCCTTTGTCTCCCTAGTGGCGGTGTTTACACACCGCACCAGGTACTCATTTGAGGCCAAGTCGACCTGGGGGAGGCCCAGGACCGGTTCAGATAATCGTCACCGGTGTTGGCCGTGAGCGGGAATCGAACTCGCGTCGCTAACCGCAACACTACCACTCCCCACACGCACGTACACGCACATACACACACGCACACGCACACACAAACACGTACACTCATGGCAACCTCCCCTCTCCTACAGCAAAGGGTACCGGGCAAAACCACGCCGAGCCAACGATCCTAGCCAGCGCCAGTACGTACGTTGAACGTCTTCCACACCGCGCGTAGCCGACCGTGCTCACCGCAAACCCTGCCACCGCGTCGGCCCGCACGGCAGTCTCCTCCTTTAGGCCCCCCCCCCCGTACCCCCACCCCGGACCCCCGAACGCAACCGACGCGTCACCGCACGTCGCGCTGCTGCAGCTGCTGCTGCCGCCGCAGGATGGACTGCAGGGCGGCCTTAGCGGGCCTCAGCATCTGCTCCTTGTGCACGCGCAGCAGCAGCGCGGCCCGATCCTTGGTCTTGGGCCGGTGCGTGGCCACGAGGTGCACCCCGACGGCGTCGCGGCAGCACGACTCGAAGTCGCAGCGCGGGCACCGAAAGAGGCGCACGAAGCGGCGGTCGCGGGAGAAGTGCGTCCTGGCGTGGCGCCGCAGCGCCGCCGGCGCCCGGAAGCGCTGCGAGCACAGGCCGCAGCGCAGGCGCGCGTCGTCGCACACGGCGCGCACGTACGCCAGACCCTCCGCGGGCGACACGGCGACTGCGTCGGCGACCGACGACGGCCTCGCCGGCGGCGACGACTTCGGCGGCGACGACTTCGGTGGCGACTTCGGCGGAGACTTCGGCGGCGACTTCGCCGGCGACTTCGGCGGCGATTTCGGCGGCGACTTGGGCAGCAGCGACTTGGGCGTCAACTTGGGCGTCTTGGGCGAAACCGGCGAGGGAGACTCGGCGGCGCGCTTCCGCGCGCCTGCGCGACCCGTGCCGCGAGGTTGCCCGGCGTCCCTCCTCGCGCGAGCGTCGCTTCCCCGGGCGTCAGCGAGGGGCGGCGGCGGTGGCGTCGGCGGCGGCGGTGGAGGCGTCGGTTTACGAGTTGCCTTCTTGGCCGTCGTGCCGGCCGGAGCATTTTTACCGCACCGGCTCTTTTTGAGTGGTGTCTCCTTTACCCCGACAACGGCGTTGCCGGCGCCACCGCCGGCGGTGGCGCCGGCGGTGGCGCCAGCGGTGGCGCCGGGTTGTTGCGTGGCCGTGTGCATGGTCTCCATGTGCCGCACGATGTGGCTAGACCTCGAGAATGATTTGTCGCACACGGGGCAAACGTTGTTGGGGCGCCGACCCGCCAAACCACCACCACCGCCGTCGCCACCGCCTTCGGTGCACTCACTCGCATCGCCGACCCCGCGGGGTTTCCTTACCCTGCCCGCGGCTCTGCCAGTAGATTTGTCGAGACCCGGATCGGCGGCCCGCGCTTCCGGCTCGCCCGGCGCTCTGTCGGGGGGCTCGCATTTCAGCTCGGTGTCTCCCACTGACGCCGACGCCGCTGCCGCCGCTGCCGCCGCTTGGCTCCTCCTCACCTTGTGGACCTTCTTCAGGTGCTTCTTGACCCCGCGGTGGTCAAAGAACGCCTTGCAGCACAGGGGACAGAACTTATTCTTGCGAGCCTTGAGCGAACGCCGGCTCCCGCCACGCGCCCGCCCCGCGTCGCCACCGGCCGGCCCGTCGCCTTGCGGCGTCGCCGCCAGCACCGATGTCGCCGACGACCCGACCTCTCCCGGCTCGGCCACCGCCGAGTTCCCCCTCCCACCTCCTCCTCCGCCGTCGCCGCCGCCGCCGTCTCTGCCGCCGTCTACTCCGTCGTCGTCCAGGGCCATCCCCTCCCTGCCACCGGCCGAGTCGACAAACCCGGCGTCGGCCCTCGGCGCGGAGAGCCGCCGGGACGGCCCCGGGGCCCCACCGGGCGGCGGGTCGGGCGACGGCGGCGCGCCGAGCGGGGAGTAGAGCCCCGACGCGAAGGCCTCCTCCGTGCCGGGGCGGCCGTGGCCGCCGGCGGCGGCTCCCCGCGGCCGCGAGCCGGACACGGGCGACGCGGTGCCGTCGCCGGGCCCCTCCCCGCGCTCGCCGCCGTCGCGCTCCAGGAAGCGCTCCAGGAGCTCGGCCCCGGAGCCGAACGTCCGGTCGCGGCGGCCCTCGGCGGCGGGCGACGAGGGGGACGCGGGCGCCGCGCCGACGCCGGCCGAGTCGGCGTCCGGACGCCCGGCGCGCAGTAGCCCGAGGTGAGCCCGGGCCGTGTGCAGGCGCAGGCCGATTTTGGAGGTGAACGTGCCCTTGCAGAACGTGCAGCGCGAGAGCTTGCGGTTCTTGCGCGGGCGCTCCCTGCCGCCGCTCGGCTGGGTCGTCGCGGTCGCGGCGCCGGCAGAGGCGACGCCGGCAAAGAGGGCGCCGGCGGCGGTCTGCGCCGCGTTGCCCCGCTCGCCCCGGTCCTGCTCACGACAGGCAAAGGGCAAAGGTCCCCGTGTAGGCCTCAACGGGCTGGTGGGGCGAGGGCCGGGCCGCCGTTGCCTCTCAACACACATACATACATACGTAGCATAGCACACTCACCACTGCACTACCGCACACACACGTGCACAAAGACAAAGATCCCCTGTATAGCCTTAACATACTGTTGGGGCAAGTGCTGTTAGCGAGCGCCTATGAAGGCCGGCACTGCACGAGCGGTGGTAATGGAGACACCAAGCCAGCACTATCGGCATTCCTCTTATAGTGCTGCCTCCTATAACGCCGTTTCCTCATCACGCTCTTTGTCCTAGAGGAAAATTCGTGCGTGAATCAGCGCACACGCATCTCCAGCGGAACCATGTTCTCATGACCTCCGAAAGCGCCGTTTCGTACAGCAGCGCTCCGATTACCAAGGATGCATCCCTCGCGCTACAGGAGGTATGCCTGTACCAAGACCCTGGATCTCAACTCTGGCCTGGGTGTCCCTCTCTCTCCTGCAGGGGAATCACAGCGGTCGCATCAGAGACGCCAAAACTAAACTATTTTTATTTGACCAGGTGCGGGGCCCGATGAGCGACCCGGTCACAAATGATCGCTCAACAAAGCGGCCTATTATCACGTGGAAATTTATAGCAGCCAAAAAAGTCCAAGCGACCAACACCGGGAGAGAGAGAGACACGCAAACTCCAAATACATAACAGGTGGCGTCAGGGTCGGGATCAGAGGTCGCAACCGGGTACCCGATACCCGTACCCTACCCGATACCTGGCTACCCATACCCGGCCGGGTACGGGTAGCCGTTTGCGACCCTGGTGCGGCCGGGTACGGGTAGGCCGTGAGTCACTGGTGAGTAACCGTTTGTCACTCATTTCGGGTAGGGTACGGGTAGGGAATCAAAACCCGTTTGCGACCTCTGGTTGGGATCGAACCCACGACCTCCTGCATACCAGGCGAGGCAGTTAACATCTCGCCACGGCGACAATGAGCCGGCATCGACGAAAGACCGCCCGGTTCACCCACCGCGCCGGCGTCTCTCCCGCCGGCCAGGGCGGCGGCGGGCAGCTGCGGCACGGGCTGCCCGTCCTGCAGAGGGCCCCGGCGTGCCGAGGCGCCGGCGCTGCTCACGTGCTGGAAGACGGCGTGGGGGTTGCCGCCGATGGCCTGCAGACGCAGCACGTAGCCCGGCGCCGCGCGGGCGTCGCCGTCGCCGCCGCCGATGATGTCGTCTCGCGGCGCCATCGCGTCCAGCAGGTCCCGAGCGACGCGCGTGTGGCCTGGCTCATCGCCACGGCCCAGCTCGTCTGCGTAACACGCGCACACACACACACGAGAGACGCACACACACACACACGAGACGCACACACACACACACGAGACGCACACACACACACACGAGACGCACACACACACACACGAGACGCACACACACACAAGCCGCACACACACACACACACGAGACGCACGTGCGCACACACACACACACACACACGAGACGCACGTGCGCACACACACACACACGAGACGCACACACACACACACGACCGTGTCAGTCGAGTGCTCGTCCAGTTGCATTGGCTTCCGATGGCCGAAGGAATACGTTAGACATTAACAACCCTAGTCTCATGGTCCACCCCAAACCGCATCCAATGCACACACCATGGCAGATGGGGATAGTTGATGCACAAATTAAAAATTAAAAACTCTCCAGTAGTGGTCATCCAGAACAGACCATATAATGACGCAATGCCCAATCTATAAATACGAAGGAGACATCGCAGCGATACACTCCGCTACCGCTCCTGATGCGGCTATCTGCCTAGACCTCCTGAAAGTTAAATTGTAGTTGTTGCTCTGCATCTACATCCGCCGCACGGAAGAAGATGACACACAAATTAATCACTATCTCGTCAAGGAGCATAAACCATCGCGCGAACCAGTCATCCTAGCAGCAGCAGCGGCTTTTGGCTAGCCATCAGATGCGCTTCTGCGGCCGTCTGGAACGCTCTTCCTTCCGATATTAGGAAGCCATTGGGGCTACGCACTTTTAAAGCCTATCGATTAAAAACTCATTTCGGCCAGCGTCCGTCTCCCCCAGTGCTGATGCTCACATACGGCACGGAGTACTTGATTTGGCGGGTGGCCAGGTAGTTGGGCGGTTGTGTGGGTGGGCGGGTATTTGAGCGGGCAGGTGGGTAGTTGGGTGGGTAGGCGAGTATTTGGGCTAGTAGTTGGGCGGGTTGGCGGGAGGGTGGCCAGGTAGTTGGGCGATTGGGTGGGTGGGCGGGCGAGTATTTGAACAAGCAGGTGGGTAGTTGGGAGGGTAGGCGAGTATTTGGGCGGGTAGTTGGGCGGGTTGGCGGGAGGGTGGACGGGTTAGTTGGGCGGGTAGTTGGGTGGGCGGGGAGACCGAACCTTGGCTGCCGGGCAGCGCGGTGCGGCAGTAGTGCTCGCGGTGCGTCACCAGGTTGGGCAGCCCCCGGAAAAGGCCCCGGCACAGACGGCACTCGAAGATCGTGTCAACCTCCCGCAGCAGGAGATTCCTCAGCTCCCGGGTGCCTATCGGGAGGGAGGGAGGGAGGGAGGGAGGGAATCAACGTGGAACAGGGGGAGAGAATAAATAAACTCCAATCATATAACTCACACTGTAGAACAGGGGGAGAACACACAAACTCCGCGCAACAATGCTGCCATGTTCAGGAATTGAACCCAGGTCCGTCCTTGCAGCTGGGCATTAACGTTACCACCACCCTGCCACCCACTGCCCCTTACCCTGGCAAGGGTGACCACCCCCCCACCCCTGTACGATAGACACGGCGTAAGGAGGCCCTCATCCAGCAGTGGATTGACACAAGAGCAGTACGCGTTACAGAGCTTCCAGTGGCTGAACGAATACATTACAGGGGAGTGCTCATGACACACAAAGTGCTTGCCACAAATGAACCACAACACCTCGCTGATCTCGCCAAGGAGCATAAACCATCATCACGCGAACTCCGGTCATCCTCTCAGCAGCGGCCTTTAGCTAGCCGTCGATAAAAGAGACGCTCACCGCATCGCGCACTTTCAGATGCGTTTCTGCAGCCGTCTGGAACGTTCTTCCTTCTCGAGATTACGGAGCAACTGGAGCGGTGCACTTTTACGTCATCTGGATTGAAAGCTAATTTCTTTAGAATTGCTTTTTATGTTTAGTTTGTTGTCCTTCCCCCACACTTCCCATTAGCATGGCTGGCTACGTTCGGTGCGAAAGAAAGTCAACATACATATGAGTTGTTCTCCTATAACGCGTGGTGTTTTTATAACGCCAATTGGATATAACCCGATGAATATATTAGGGAATGCATTTTTTATAACGCGGATGCGAATTGGTAATAACGCGATCGAGCAAACAGAACTACGTCGCCCGAGCAGTAATAAGCGGGTTGTATGGCTGACTCAGCATAGCATCATCACACAAGGAATTGGGATACTGCTGGATGCCTCTAGATATTACTCATGCGCCTCAGTCTTTGCTCAGCCTGCGTACGCGTGTTATTGCAGACTGTGCTGTACCCTATATTATATATTATTTATCTTTATTATAATGCAAGTTTTCCATAAACGCGGCGTTCTATCACGTTAAATGAGAACATACCGTACGTACATAACACGTTACATGTTCAGAATCATAATCAGAATATGTATTTATACAGGAGGAATCCGATGAGCTATGAAGCTCTTTTTCACAGACCTCGCCCTGCGTGTTACCACGGAGGGCCAGAGGCTGCGAGAGCGTTTTGCCCGTTGCGCTGGCCGTACCGGAGCGGAAGCATTCGATGATCTGCTGGATGCCAGCCTTGGAGGTGGAAGCTTGTCTCTGCAGGAGCGGTGGGTCTCCAAGCTCCGTGCTGTGGCCTGCGAGCAGCAACGAGGCATGCGTCACTATGAGACATCTCCTTTACCAGTGACAAAATATAGTAATAAGTTTTTACCAGAGGTGTGGACTCGAGTCATGTGACTTGGACTCGAGTCAGACTCGAGTCATGAATTTGATGACTTCAGACTCGACTTGGACTTGCATAACAATGACTTTGTCCCACCTCTGAGGTGTGGACTCGAGTCATGTGACTAGGACTCGAGTCAGACTCGAGTCATGAATTTGATGACTTCAGACTCGACTTGGACTTGCATAACAATGACTTTGTCCCACCTCTGGTTTTTACCCTTTCAACTGGTACAAAATACTCTGATAGTGCGCTGTCTTTGAGTTGTACGCCTTTTGGCGTCATCTGGTCCAACACCAATGGAGACTAGGCTCTAAGAAAAGCTGTCTCGGGTGTGGACCAATCAACTTTAAGGACAGTGCATATCATTATCATCATCAGAGTTGTTTCTTTTTGTTTGCATTTTGACTGCTTGTGTTGTGGTTATTGCAAACATGATGCCTTGTAGAAAGGTGTCAGTTTTTGTACCAGTTGAAAGGGTAGAAACCTATTGCGAGGCATGCGTCGTGAAGATACAGCAACGTACAAACTCGCGTAGTGACCCGCGGACTCACGTAGGGACGTAGGGACTCACGTAGTGACCCACGGACTCGTGTAGAGACTATGGTTGTTAATACATAGAGCCGTACAGAGCCACAGAGAGACTAGCGTGGCAGTGAGCGCTGTGAAGGCACAACGCAGAGCCTGCGAGGCCACATCGGGAGGTCCCCGCCTCCCTTCCCGTGCTGCTTTCGTAGCGGATGTCGGGCCGAGCTGGCGATGAGAAATCGATGCCCAGGTTGTGAATCGAGCGGCTGGCTTTGTAGCGGCGAGGACATTCGCAGTGGGCACAGACAGACCCAGAGACTCACACAGAGAGACCCAGAGACTCACACAGAGAGACCCAGAGAATCACACAGAGAGACACAGAGACTCACACAGAGACACAGAGACTCACACAGAGAGACCCAGAGACTCACACAGAAAGACCCAGAGACTAACACAGAGACCCATGGACTCACACAGAGACCCATAGACGCACACAGAGACACATAAAATCACACAAAGACCCATAGACTCACACAGAGAGACCCAGAGACTCACACAGAGAGACCCAGAGACTCACACAGAGAGACACAGAGACTCACACAGACCTAGAGACTCACACAGAGAGACACAGAGACTCACACAAAGATACCCAGAGACTCACACAGAGAGACCCATTGGCTCACACAGAGACCCAGAGACTCACACAGATAGACCCAGAGACTCACACAGAGAGACACAGAGACTCACACAGAGAGACCCATATCCTCACACAGAGACACATAAAAATCACACAAAGACCCATAGACTCACACAGACCCACGTGCGTGCGTGCGTACCCAGGCAGCAGACATGGTCACACTGCGCAGTCTGAGTGCCTTTCTCCACAGTCTCACTCGGGCTGTTCGGAGTCTTCACGACTCTTTTCTTCATCATCCTAAGGGTCGGGGGAAATGCGAGACAATTGGCGACCACCGATGTCACCACGCGGAGCGCCAAGCCACACACACACACACCAAAAAAACAAAGGCCCCTCCGGATAGCCTTAACAGACTGTAGGGGCAAGTGCTGTTAACGAGCACCTATGAAGGGCCAGCACAGCACACGAGGAGGTGGGTGGCCAGCACCACGCCCAGCCACCTTTGCCTCCTTAGTGGTGAAGATTACACATTGCACCAGGTACTCATTTGAGGCCGAGTCGACTTAGGGGAGGCCCAGGACCGGTTCAGATAATCGTCACTGATTTTGACAGTGAGCGGGAATCGAACTTGGGTCGCCGGGTTCGTAGCGCAGCGCGCTAACCGCTACACTTTTGCAATGGTCACCTGGGCTACCAAAATGATAAAAGCTAAATAAATCAATTATAGCAATGAAGCAAGAGAAAATCAGACCAAAAACCACTTAACCAAATGACAAAAATTGCACTTACATAAATACATTTTAAATATTACAGTCCCTGTAGTATAAGTTGGCTCAGACAGAGATTATTTTTAGGTCGACCAAAGCACAATTACAAAATTAAGTTAACAAACATGAACAGATATTGCAAGCGATGCAATGATAAAGTGCGGTATAACAGGATTGAACTGAACACCATTCCTCGCGACAAATCACTGTTCAATTTAAAATATATTTTTGTGTTAAGCTACGTAATGATTTGGCCAAATTTGTGTCACAAGACCCTCCACCACCTGACACAGCTGAGAGAAATTATGGTAATTGCCACGCGGTGCACAAGCTGTTGATGACCTGCCGATTATTACTATCATCTCAGATCGCTCACCCACTCGCTCACCACTGGTGAGTTGGATAGCGACTCTTACAGCCAGATTCAACAAGACTCACCGACTCACCCGCTCACACACCAACTGCCTCACCCATTCACCATGGAGAAGTAAGAGAGTGACTCTCACAGCCAGATTCAGCAGCACTCATGCACTTGCTCACTCACTTACTCACTCACTCACCGTGGGGGGAGTTGTATAGGGACTCTCAAAGCCATATTCAGCAGCACACACTCACTCACTGACCCTGCTAACACACCCACTGGATTATCCACTCACTGCGGGCGAGTTAGAGAGTGACTCGCACAGCCAGATTTAGCAGCAAAGACAAAGATCCCCGTAACAGACTGTTGGGGCAAGTGCTCTTAGCGAGTAGCACCTATGTATGGCGAACTTCTTTAGCACCGTACGTAGCCAACCGTGCTAATCGGACGTGCGGGGGAAGGACAACAAACTAAACACAAAAAGCAGTTCTATGAAGGCTGGCACGGGTGGGTGGCCAGCACCACGCCCAGCCACCTTTGCCTCCTTAGTGGTGAAGATTACACATTGCACCAGGTACTCATTTGAGGCCGAGTCGACTTAGGGGAGGCCCAGGACCGGTTCAGATAATCGCTACTGGGTGTTGGCCGTGAGCGGGAATTTAACTCGGGTCGCCGGGTTCATAGCTCAGTGCACCAACCGCTGCACCACCGCTCCCCACAGAGGTATCGGCGCTCACTCACTTTCTCCGGTACCTTGCGCACCCGCCTGCTCACCCACTCACCGCGGGGCGAGTTCAAGAGAGCAACTCCCACGGCAAGATGTGTTAGTTAAATTTGAGATTCGTGAGACTTCGCTTGAGACCGTCTAACGCGTCGTCCGTACTTCCTGGAAACGCTTGCCGCGGTGTCAAGACAAAAACAATCTCGCGGCAACGGATCCCTGCGCGCAGACCACTATGCAGCAGCAGCCCACTGAGCTACCTAGGTCTTTTTCAGAAGCGACCTGGCCACAAATGATAGCTCAATGTGAGTGGCTTATCATGTGGAACTTCATAGCAGGCAAATACTCTCTGTACAGCAGGCGTTATTGGTAAACCCACGACATCCTGTATACCTCGCGAGGTATTTAACATCTCGTGACTGTGGCACCCTATCTTCTTGTTTTTTTCGGTAAAGTCACGAATCCCTGCAGTCACGAAAGCTTTAAATAGAAATGTGGCACCCTATTAAAACAGTCAAGAGATCAAAGTGATTTCCTGCTCAAGCAAGCATCGAGGCATCCGTGCTCAACTCCCGTTAACAGCCCTGCAGAGCTAGTGGTGGAAATTCCACATTGCTACGGTAGGGGCCGAGTCTCTCCATAGGGCAACCACTGTTGACCTCCCCGCAACGTGGTGCTGGTATCAGACCCCCCGCGAGGTCAACTCCATTCCAGGAGTTGACCTCGCGACCTTCCGCTTGCGAACCACTGCGCACTTTCGGTGGCGAGATGTTAACTACCTCACCTAGTATACAGGAGGTCGTGGGTTTGATCCCGACCCTGACGACGCCTGCAAATTTGGAGTTTGCGTGTCTCTCTCTCTCTCCCCCCGTGGTCGCGTGGTCCTCCGGGTTTTACCCCCATATATAGAATCAACGTGCATTTCGAGTATTTGGCTGCTATACATTTCAACGTGATGTTAAGCCACTTCGTTGAGCTATCATTTGTGATGGCCAGACATATATAGCTCACTTATATACACTCATATAATATATACTTGGCTCTTTGCAGAACTCATGGGTACTGGTTGGCTCTTGGTCTGTTATGGGTTGGCCACCCACTCATATAGAGGGCATTAAGCCATTTGAAAGCCTCTTTGGAGACTCGACAGACGACGTGATACTGCTCACGATATCGGTGGCACAGGGTGAAGTGTAGAATCATGCGACCCGTGGTCTGTGAATCGGAGGTGCAGGGTGCAGCGTGGGATCACGTGATCCATGGTCTGGCTCTGGTATGTATGTTGAACTTCTTTCGCACCGTACGTAGCCACCCGTGCAACGTACCGTACCAGTCGCATTGCCGACTGCTCTTTATTATTGACCGATTAAAGGAGGTGGCTGCATTTGCCATTCCCTGTTCTGCAGAGATTTAGGGCTGACCACCGTTTCCTGGGTTAGGGGTCGAATCCCCAGAGAGTTCTTGCGTGGGGTCGCTATCAGAAAGCGATAGAATTGGTTTAGCGAGAGACTTTTCTCGTGTACAAATTCATCATCATCGTCGGCCATGGTCAATCCACTGCTGGATGAAAGCGTCCTCTAAGCCAATGCCATCTCTCGCAATCCTGCGGTGAAATCCTAACCTGCGGTCCCGTCACAAAGCTAAACTATGAACTACACTAAAACTATTTTTTATTTCACCAGGTAAGGCCCACTGAGCTATACAGCTCTTTTTCAGAAGCGACCTGGCCACAAATTATAGCCCAACGAAGTGGCTTATCGCGTGGGAATTTACAGCATCCAAATACTCTAAACGCGTGCGAATTCAAAACGTGGAGGGAAAAACCGGAGGACCCGGAAAAAAATCCACGCGACTACGAGAAGAGAGAGAGAACACGCAAACTCCGAACCGTCTTCTTTCGTATGGCTACTAATGTCGATGCAGAGCTACAAATTAAATTTTAAGGGGCAGCGGAGTGTATCACTGAACTCCAAATGAACAGCAGGCGTCAGGGTCGGGATCGAACCTGCGGCCTCCTGTACACCAGGCGGGGTAGTTAACATCTCGCCGCCGTTTGATCGCCGCTCCATCTCCTGAGTGGACTACCTCGCTGACAAAGCGTTGGGAGAACTGGGAGCACAATTTTCTCGAGTAACCATCGGGGGGGAAGGGGGGAGCTACAATGCAGTCACGACAGTACAGAATGTGGAAGGAAGGTGACGTGCGAAACGTGCAAAGAATGGTGTTGCACAAGTGGTGCATTCCTAACAATACCTGTGTTTCGCAAACACATACACTGACAGCGTGTCCACGCACGCGTGTGTGCGGGTGCTATAAACGTGTGAGTGTCCGTGAGTGTCTACTACTGTATGTGGGGAGCGATCGTGTGGCGGTCAGCGCACTGCGCTACAAATCCGTCGACCCGAGGTCGATTCCAACTCACGGCCAACACCGGTGACGATGATCTGAACCGATCCTGGGCCTCCCCAAAGGTCGATACAGCCTCAAGCGAGTACTTGGTGCGGTGTGTAAACATCGCCACTGGGGAGACAAAGGCGGCCGGGCGTGGTGCTGGCCACCCACCCTCTCGCGTGCCGTGGCGGCCTTCATAGGTGTTCGCTAACAGCACTTGCCCCAACAGTCTGTTCAGGCTATACGGGGGATCTTTGTCTCCTGTATGTGTACAACAGTTAATCTGCCAAAGTTCGTAAGAATGTCATCTCTTGGGCATTTAAATGACCTCCGTTGGGCGTGCGAAGGGATTTAAATCCGTGTGTGCACGTTGAACGTAGACGTTCACGACCAATGCTATTCGTGATAAAGGTGTTCATCCATGAATGTTCACGATGTTTAATTTAGCGTGTAGATAAATGCCACGGTGTGATACGCAGTCTCACAAAGTACTTTTATCCGCTCTGTCTCCATCGCCTTTCTGTGTGCTATGAAGAAGGGCCGTTGCCCGAAACGTCGCCCACCATACGTTTCCTTTTAAAGCCTCACAGACACACACACACACAAGTATTGTTACTGACGAATATGTGGTTTTAGTAACTGTGTTATTATTTTGCTAAACACGTGAACGGCGACCCGAGTTCGATTCCCGCTCGGGACCAACACCGCTGGCCAATACCTGAACCGGTCCTGGGTCTCCCCTAGGTCGACTCAGCCTCAAATGAGTAACCTGGTGCGGTGTGTAAACATCGCCACTGGGGAAGACAAAGACGGCCGGGGGATCTGTATCTTTGTTAATGTTCATGTGGGTTTGTCCAGCATATCTGTTCGCGTGTACTTAATTTGGTTTTTACAATATGTTTTTACCGAATGCGTGTCCATGTGTAAAACTACGGTGCATTGCAGGTGTATTCACCTGTAAGGGATCATCTACATCGCGTGCTCACGTGTAGGCTTGTACAACACAGCTGAATGTCCACGTGTAAATGTTTAAATGTACAGCCGTGCCTTGACCGATTACAACGTTCACGCGTGTAGCTATGCGTGTTGTAAGGTGTTCACCTATGCACACAGACATCGTGTTCATGCGGGTGTGTGTGTGTCTGTGTGTACAGCACATGGACAATGATAGTGTAATAAGAACCGTGTTGACTGGTGCGTTCCCTTGCTGTTACGCGTGAACACAAACACACATGAACACGCGTGAACAGGCCCCAGCCAACCAACATCCAAACCATTCAACAACCACCAACATTATAATCGCACGAAAAGAAATTACCGCCAACGGCAAGCGCATGAACGCGACAATTAACAATCGTTCGGCAGTTTAAAAAAATAAATATAAATTAATATAAACATACTCAATAACGCCGATAGTGGTTTAAAAAGCAACCGAAATCTCGCGATCTTAATAAACATTTAAAAGAGTCGCGTGTTGAACGCCCATCGCCCGCGAGTGTCTCACCGTGGGGCCTAGCGCAGGCTTTCGCCGCCGTTTCCTGAACAGCCACGGCCGCCTCGCAGCGTCCACACCCCGCGGCCTCGGCCCTCTAACACCCTCGCTGTTTGTTGGTCTTCGTCGTCGTCGTCGTCTTTATCTGTGGTTGTTGTTGTTGTTTGTTGTTGGTGTGCAGTGTGTGTGTGTGTTCGCCGGTGTTTATCATTCGCCGTATTCGCAGGAGCGAGCGAGCGGGCGGGCGGGGGCGGTGTTTGCGGCGTTTGTGCGGCGCGAGACGAACGCGGCTGATGATGCTGCCGCTGATGCTGCTACTGCTGCTGCCTATGCGCAACAACAACAACACACAACAACAACAACAACACAACAACAACAACACACAACAACAACACACACAAACACACAACAACAACACACACAAACACACAACAACAACAACACACACAAACACACAACAACACAACACACAACATACACACCAACACAACAACAACAACACCACACACAAACACACAACAACAACACCACACACACAACAACAACACAACAACAACACCGCACACACAAACACACAACAACACACCAACACCACACAGACAGACACATAACAACACAACAACACCACACACAACAACAACACCACACACACAACAACAACACAACAACAACACCACACACACAAACACACAACAACACACCAACACCACACAGACAGACACATAACAACACCACAAACACAACAACACCACACACAACAACACAACAACAACACCACACACAACAACAACACCACACACACACAAACACACAAAAACAACACCATACACACAAACACACAACAACACGTGTTGTGTTGTTCCCAACTGAACTGTGTTCTGGAACGGGTTGTGTTGTTCCGAACTGCACAACTGTAATTGCGTTCGGAACGAATTTTGTTTGAAGTTGACTGCGTTCCGGACAAACTGTGTTCGTAACGGATTGTGTTCGGAACGGATTGTGTTCGGAGCTGTGTGTGTTGGGAACGTATTGTGTTCGGAGCTGTGTGTTCGGAACGGATTATGTTCGGAACGGATTGTGTTCGGAGCTGTGTGTGTTCGGAACAGATTGTGTGCGGAACAGATTGTGTTCAGAACGGATTGTGTTCGGAACAGATTGTGTTCGGAACAGATTGTGTTCGGAACGGATCGTGTTCGGAACGGATTGTGTTCGGAGCTGTGTGTGTTCGGAACGGATTGTGTTCGGAGCGGATTGTGTTCGGAACTGTGTGTGTTCGGAACGGATTGTGTTCGGAGCTGTGTGTGTTCGGAACGGATTGTGTTCGAAGCTGTGTGTGTTCGGAACGGATTGTGTTCGGAACGGATTGTGTTCGGAACTGTGTGTGTTCGAAGCTGTGTGTGTTCGGAACGGATTGTGTTCGAAGCTGTGTGTGTTCGGAACGGATTGTGTTCGGAGCTGTGTGTGTTCGGAACGGATTGTGTTCGAAGCTGTGTGTGTTCGGAACGGATTGTGTTCGGAACGGATTGTGTTCGGAACGGATTGTGTTCGGAACAGATTGTGTTCGGAGCTGTGTGTGTTCGGAACAGATTGTGTTGGAAGCTGTGTGTGTTCGTAACGGATTGGATTGTGTTCGGAACGGATTGTGTTCGAAGCTGTGTGTTGGGAACGGATTGTGTTCATAACGGATTGTGTTCGAAGCTGTGTGTGTTCGGAACGGATTGTGTTCGAAGCTGTGTGTGTTCGGAACAGATTGTGTTCGAAGCTGTGTGTGTTCGGAACGGATTGTGTTCGAAGCTGTGTGTGTTCGGAACAGATTGTGTTCGAAGCTGTGTGTGTTCGTAACGGATTGTGTTCATAACGGATTGTGTTCGAAGCTGTGTGTGTTCGGAACGGATTGTGTTCGAAGCTGTGTGTGTTCGGAACAGATTGTGTTCGAAGCTGTGTGTGTTCGTAACGGATTGTGTTCGAAGCTGTGTGTGTTCGGAACGGATTGTTTAAGGAGCTGTGTGTGTTTGGAGCTGTGTGCGTTCCCAACTACAGTGCTGTAATTGTGTTCGGAACAGATTGTGTGATTAACAGATTATGTTAGGAACTGGTTGTATTAGGAACTGGTTGTATGAGGAACTGATTGTGTCATGAACTGGTTGTATGAGGAACTGATTGTGCTAGGAACTGGTTGTGTGAGGAGCTGCTTGTATGAGGAACTGGTTGTGCTCGGAATTGGTTGTGTGAAGAACTGATTGTATGAGGAACTGATTGTATTAGGAACTGGTTGTATGAGGAGCTGGTTGTATGAGGAACTGATTGTGTTAGGAACTGGTTGTGTTAGGAACTGGTTGTATGAGGAACTGATTGTATTAGGAACTGGTTGTATGAGGAGCTGGTTGTATGAGGAACTGATTGTGTGAAGAACTGGTTGTATGAGGAACTGATTGTATGAGGAACTGATTGTATTAGGAACTGGTTGTATGAGGAGCTGGTTGTATGAGGAACTGATTGTGTTAGGAACTGGTTGTGTTAGGAACTGGTTGTATGAGGAACTGATTGTATTAGGAACTGGTTGTATGAGGAGCTGGTTGTATAAGGAACTGATTGTGTTAGGAACTGGTTGTGTGAGAAACTGGTTGTGTGAAGAACAGATTGTGGTAGGAACTGGTTGTGTAAGGAATTGATCATGTCAGTAACAGATTGTGTTAGGAACTGATTCTGTCAGGAACTGTTCCAAGCGGTAGTGCAACGGTTAGCGCGCTGCACCCGAACTCGCAGCAAAACACCAGTGACGATTATCTAAACCGGTCCTGAGCCTCCTCTAGGTCGACTCAGCCATGTGATTATGTAAAGTGTCATCTCCAACCCTTAAGAAGGGCAAATGCGCGAAACGTCACACGCGTATTTTCCTATTAACGCAGTGTTACTGACTGATGCGTTGTGTCTTGTGCTCAGAACATGGGTGTTGAGAATTGTGTTGTATGTGTTCGGAATGCCCTGTGCTCAGAACAACTCTACAATGATATGTTCTCAATCTTGAGTCCCATAAGATCGCGTGTTGACAATACAAAGACGGCAGTCACCGCACCGCGCACTTTCAGATGCGCTGCTTCTGCGGCCGTCTGGAACGCTCTCCCCTTCCGATAGCAGGAATCCACTGGGGTTGTGCACGTTTAAATAATCGTCTAGATTGACAAACTCATCTCTTTAGAACTGATTTTTGTGTTTAGGTTGTTGCCCGTCCTCCGCAGCTCCGATCAGCACAGTTGGCTACGTACGGTGCGAAAGAAGTTCAACATACAGTACACACACACAAAGCACCTCCTCATTTGCCCCATGTGTTTAAAAACTTTTTTAATGTCAATATTTCTGTTAAACACATGGGAATGCCCACTGAGCTATTAAGATTTTCTTCAAGAAGTGACCTGGCCACAAATGATAGCTCAACGAAGTGGCTTATCACATGCAAACTGATAGCAGCAACATCATTTAAAGCCGAAAGTTACATCTGCTCACTCCCACCAAGCCCGCTGCATTCAAATCGCGCCCGAAGACGCAACTCGCTTCTAAGGGCTTTGTTCTATTCCTTGATTCCTTTGTTATGGAGCGGGATGTGATTGGGGTGAGCCTGAGTGCGTGTGCGCTGCGTGTTTTGTACAGAGCCTTGTGACCTCCGGATGAAAGGGGCTTTAGAAGTGTAAATAAACGTTGTTAATAATATACACAAATTATAAATGAACACAATAGGTGACGTCTGGCACATCTCGTCGTTATTCGAGGCCGTTAACGTCTCTTTCCAGTGGCGGGCTTCGTCAATTTCAGATCTGACTACAGCAGTGCACGCGCACGTGTGTGTCTGTGTGCACACGTGTGTGTGTCTGTGTGCACACGCGTGTGTGTGTCTGTGTGCGCACGTGTGTGTGTCTGTGTGCGCACGCGTGTGTGTGTCTGTGTGCGCACGTGTGTGTCTGTGTGCACACGCGTGTGTCTGTGTGCACACGCGTGTGTCTGTGTGTTCACGTGTGTGTGTCTGTGTGTGCACGTGTGTGTCTGTGTGTGCACGTGTGTGTGTCTGTGTGCGCACGTGTGTTTCTGTGTGCGCACGTGTGTGTGTGTGTGTGCGCGCGCACGTGCGTGTCTGTGTGCGCACGTGTGTGTGTCTGTGTGCACACGTGTGTGTCTGTGTGTCTGTGTGCACACGTGTGTGTCTGTGTGCGCACACAGACGCGTGTGTCTGTGTGTGCGCACGTGTGTGTCTGTGTGCACACGTGTGTGTGTCTGTGCGCACACGGGCGCGGCACGGGCAAGAGAAGAGACGGAGCGATGTGGTACAAGAGGAGCGGAGTGGACTTGCCGATGACTGGTACCAGCCGTGTCAAGATCGGCCTCTGTGTGGGTCGTGAAGGACGCTACTGGGCAGTTGGAGGCCGTCGCCCTCCAACAACAACGGATGGCGGAGTAGCGACGCTCACAACAACGAGCGGAGCGCCGGGCGATTAAAGCACAGCAAGTTGGCACAGTAGGAGGCACAGGTGGTGCATCGGCCACTCATCTCAGTCGGTCGACCCGTGGCACCTGCTGGGTCTGCCCCGTGACCTCCTGCCAGCGGGCTGTTCGACACTTCACGTGGCCTCAACGTGCACCTAGCCTGGCACAAGCGCCGTGGTGACGTCGCCGCCACTTAGTGGCGAATGGCGGTTGTTGTTGTTGTTACACAAACTTAACTGAGCATTACTGAGTAGCTGGTGCGGTATGTAGTCAACATCGCCACTCGGGAGACAAAGGCGGCCGGGCCTGGTGTTGGTCACGCATCAGCACTTGCCCCAAGGGTCTGCGAATAATATTCGGGGGATCTTAGTCGTGTCTAAAACTCAGGGAAGTTACCAAATGGTGACCTTTTTGCCAGTAGCAAAGTATGAAACAATAAGAATGTGTTAAATTTCGATTTAAAGCTTTCGTGACTGCAGGGATTCATCGTCTTGGTTCTTTCGGTAAAGTCACGTAGAAGGGAAATAATACAATAATAAAAATAAAACATAAGAATGTGTTTTACCCTTTATGACAATGAACCAGGAGTCGTTTGAGACGTCTCGTGCTCAGGGAAGTTATTGGAAGCGGACTTGGATCAGGCAGCAGTGTGCAGTGCCTTTTTAAATCCTTTATATTAAGTTCGCATGCTTGCTTGCTTGCGTGCTTGCTTGCTTGCGTGCTTGCGTGCTTGCTTACGACCGTGCAAATCTTTCGGTCGTTTTTTAACCCACTTCTTGTGATCCAATCGAGCTGACATTTTGCACACAGACTCGTTGTGCGTGACAATTAATGTTCGTGAAAAAAAATTCCCAAAATTTTACACTTTTTAGGCATAACCCCTCCACAGGCCGTGGCGGAGTAGCGCAGTTGGTAGCGCCCTCGCTTCCCATGCCAAAGGTTGCGGGATCGATCCCCGCGTCCTCCACAGGCGAATATATTTTTCAATCCTCTATATTAAGTTCGCTGCCATGCATAT